AAATTGTAATCTTCCAGTTGCAATCCATTATCATTGTATAGCTGTGTACAAAGTCTTAAAGGATGCTGACTTAATGACTCAAGCTGGAGGGAAGATGTTGACTCAAAGCCTAGAGGGGACACAGAAGAACAAGCCTATCTGAGGTAAGACAGCATTTTACCGGCAGGCATAGTCCAGGGGGCACGAGACAGTAACATCTATAGTATTAACAAGGACAAAGTCAAAAAATGGTAGCCACAGTATGATCCTATTCCAGCTGGCCTTCAGTGCTGAGCGGAGCAAATCCCCATCATAAGCACACACACAAATACTGCCAGATTGTCTTCAACAGCTCATTAACATCAGTGACAAGCACACTTACGTTGACAGTCACTGACATTTCAGCACTGCAACAACGACGTGTAAACAAACCTCTGGGAATACAGTGACAGACACAATAAATGAAGCAGCATCAAAGACACCTCTTGTAGGTTTCAGGCTGTAGTAGTAGTATTAGTAGCAGGCATATATCTACAACTTACTCACTGACTTCCCTGCAGTCTATTTTGTGGTGCTACTGATAGTAGTTTGGCCTGCTGCCTTGTGCTCTTCGGTATTCTCTTTCTCATGCATGCACAAAAACACATGACAGCTCAGGTCCAACTCAAAGTTTGAGATCTGCATGTTTATGTTACACATGAAATGATAAGCAAAAAGTTTTCATTAATTTTTCCTACTAAGACAGAGTGACTACCTACCGTCTCAATCCTAATGAAAACAAGTATTGTTATACCTCACTGAAACACAATACAAGTCATCAACAGAGTGAGACGCAACAGGCAGTTGACTTCTTACCATTGCCCTATTTTTGTATGACCACACAACTGTACATTGCATTACTTTGCTAGTGATTTATAAAAGCTGGAGTAAAAAAAACTTTTTCACTAAAACAGTACCCTGCTTGCTTTATTGTTTTCTGTCCAATCTAGTTAATGCAGTTTGCCACAGGCTGTAGGCGCATTATGTTGCAATTTTAATGCACAGATGTCATAAATGTCATTTAGGTCCTTGCATCCAAACACATTCAAGAGCTAAAAGCTCCTTCAGTGCATTTTTGTTTGCATTTTCATGGCATCTCAACAACTATTAAGGATAAAGGAGATTTTAGTCTGACTGATGATTACAATACAGTGGTTTGGTTTGTGATGTCTTGGTCTTTTGCACCTGACTAGACAGAAAAACAACATGAACAAAGTTGAAGTAATGTTTGTTGTTCTTTGTAATTCAACTGACAAAGTAATATTTGGAAAGAGAACCAACATTTTCAGTTTGTCTCTTTTTTTAAGATCATAATTGATTATATAACTGTTATTAAACCAGACATTTATACTAACATGGATTTTTATTACTCATTTCTTCAATTGATTCATCATGTAGTAATGTCAGAAACAGTAATTGCTTCAACAACAGATACACTGTGTAGATAAATCCAAGACAAAAACCAGGCATGATGCCTTTTAGCCAATTAGTGATAATTAGTACTATAAACTTTAAATCCCAGTAGATTACACCCATGGTCCCATTCAAGCTAAAAAAAAAAAAAAAAAAATCACATACATAGATCCCTAATTCCATTAACATTACATTACAATGAAAATAGCAATGCAGGTTTGGATTTGAGAGGGTTTTTGTTTTTTATTTAAAGCTTGAGTAAGCCTGGATGTTGACATCACTTGTGACATCATATTCAACTGGTCTATATGATAAATAAGTATAACCCGGTCTGAATGACCTACTGTTCTGGTGTAAGAGCAATGTTGGCATGTGAGACTAATCAAGTCTGCAGAAGCCCCCTACAGAGGTCAATCAAGAGGTCCACTTCCTGCTGCTGCATGTCCTACATCACTCTCAGATCTGGAATAACAGTTGACCTTTGACCTGGACATACATCACTGCAGACTGCTGTGGAATGTTTTCTGGGGAGGAAGCAGCTCTGGTTACTGGGGTGGGGGATGCACATCTCACACCAGGAAATTTGGTCCTGTGTGCAGCCTCACAGTGAACATCCTACATGGAAGAGGGATACATAATAGCAAAATGTCTGTGTCCCTCATGAAAGCAAACTATTAATCATTCATGTATGTTGGGGGACTGAGGGGGGGGGGTCAATTTCAGGCAAAAATGTAGTCCTGCAGATTCCACTTGAGGCCCTAACTAAGTGTTAAAATGATGGCCTGTTATTGCCTGAAAGCAAAGAAATAAATAATTAATTGGACCACAGTGACAAAGCCAAGAACACTACCCTCTGCCTATTCACCACCTATTCACGCTTTCATAAAACCACCTTCAACCCTACTCCAGGGAGCAGCTCCACCCCAAAGGCTGTCTGCCAATACACCGCAATGTATTGATTACACTGATGCTCTACCTCATTTGTCTCTGTGCATGCATGTTTCTATTTCAGGTTTTTCCGTGAGATTGGTTAGTTGATGAGGAACGTGAGTGTGTTTTTGCTTTAATTCAACTGGGTTCTGGGCTCATTCAGTTGAGATTTAAGAACAGGTCTGACTGTAAAAAAACACTATAAAAAGGAGGACAAAAATAAAAGATAAGCCCTAGAAATGGTTAAAAGATGATTGATTGATCACCATTAGGAACTTGAGCGATCAAGGAAACACAAACTGTCATTGTACAAAGTAGATGCAACTTGATGTGCATCCCTGGGACATCAATTACCAATGTGTTTTCAGATAGCTGCACTAAGACTACATCCAGACTGATACATTTGAGTTTTAAAACGTATCACTTTTGCTATGTTTACGCCTGGTATCCATAGTAGTCAAGAGTTTTCAAGCACCTAAAATGGAGGCTTTTGGAAACGCTGCTGACCGTGTTTTAGTTTGAAAACTCTAGGGTTGCATTTCAGTCTGGACAGGGAGAAACTGAGACCCCTGCAAATGATTCTGTCTGCTGTGTCTGCCTTATACTGGTGTGTTACTTTCGGTAACAGTTTAACCTTGTTATCGATCCAAGCAAAGAAATCTCTTGTCGGACATTAGTAGTATTTACTGTTATTAAGCAACCAGCTGCACAGTAGACAATCTACTTCCTGTTCACACCGGCCCATGCATGCCCAGTGCACCTTAATGGTCGTGTGATATGCCTTTTTCAGGCATGCTAGTGTGAATGGAGATTAATTCTGCTACGGAGCTAAAACGCTTATCTAGAAGGGGTCGTTTTCATTTTCAAATGTATTGTGATGAGGATGCACCACAACAGGAACACTGATGTATAAAGTTGTGTTTTGCTTTGGAGTTGTTGTTAGCCAGTGGCCCTCTAACTTATCGGAGAAGAAAAAAATGGTACAGGTGAAAAATAACGAGAAACTGCACTAAATTAATGAAATCATTCATTTTCTAGGCCGCTGCTGATTCAACATGCCAACTGTTCAAACGATGTAGAATAACTAGTGCTAACGGTGCCAGCTCCAAAAATGATGGGCAATGATCAGAGACACACCCTCAACTATGATCCAGTGGCGTGTGAAGGCCATCTGTTGACTCAAGTGTGTTAAAGTCCTGGGTCTTATGCTCTTCAATAACGCTGGTAAGCTGTCTAGAAATATAATTTATCATATGAAAATGTTCTATCCATTTTGTGAACAATGACAAATCAAGCAGGAGCAGGACTTTTGTGACAGCATTATTTGATACATCTCATAACTAAAATAATAGTTGTAATAAGTAACTGTGTCAATAAAGCTTTAATGACAACAATATATGTATGTATTTTATGAGCTTTCAATGATGTATTATTCATCACTATTGTGTCTGATAATCAGTTATGGTTAAGCTTAAAATGAGCATTTCTTCTACTGAAGTGTTTGCTGACGCCAAGTCCCTTCAAAATCGATTATGTGTCTGCTGACACTAAGTCCCATTCAACTTATAGTGTAATTTTTAACTGTGAAAGAGTCATTAATTTTATCAGTATTAGTATAACAGTATTAAGGTGAGGTACACACTCAGCATAATAAGCTCTCCACATTTCTCAAAATTGTAAAGTGTGGGGCTAAGTATTAAAAAAGTTTTACACCAATACTATTACAAGACACATTGTGTGTAGCAGAGTTAACTATTCTAACTTTGGCTACCTTGTATCATGTGTGATTGGTCAATTGCTACCTTATTCGACTACCTCTGAAACTTTGCTTCAAGAAAAAAAATGTTGCCATGGTTTCTACGGTAACACTCCAACACTTCTTGGCCAGTGCACTGTATTTTTATTCTCGATGGTTCCAAATCCTAGTTTTGGATTCTTACCACGCATGACCTATGCTACTTTAGTGTGTCTCTCGACAAATGTAAGAGAAGTACAAGTAGGTTTTTTGTTTACTTCTGTGTCATGGGTATTTAAACCAGAAATTATAAATCTCACAGGATTCCTTATTAACAATAATTCATTGCAAGGTTACAAACTTAAAGAAGTTTCCCTAGTGCTGATTACAAGCACTTACTGTATGACTCAGTGCGTGAGCACACAAACTGACTCAAAAAGACTAACCATGAGTCAGGCACATTGTAACAGGAAAAGACAAGAATCATGTCAGCTCTTTCAGGTTAATTTCCCAGCTGGTAAGGATAAGGAAGCCAAACCCTACCAGGAATCAGAAGACATTTCTACTACTGCCACACACACAACCCCCTTCTTCCTCTTTAGTCCCCCTTCCCCCACACCCCCTCTCTCACCAGGAGGTAGGTTCATGGCTTCTGGCTGAAATCTGGATAACAATACTATTCTCAACACAACACAGAATACGTACTTCTAAACTGGACTGTTGTGCTGGGCCATGTAAAACTAGGGATAGAGCTAACCACATGATAGTCCTAAGAACCATAACTCCAGGCTGTCTTTAATTTAGTCTTGTACTCAGCTTTTTAACCATGTATTTCAATTGATAATATTTTGTATACATATGATATATACTTTGTAGGAGAGTCTATCTCACCAGATAACATTACCTTTTCACAGAGACTGAATGTGCAATTTTTTCCAGAAGGGCATCCAGTTTTTGAAAATCCAGCAAATCGTTTGACTTGGCGTGCATCTTGTAATCCATTTATGAACTCCACTAAACAGAAACAGAAACCAAAAGACAAAAAAAGGCTCGAAAGAATTACACAGAAGTTTGTTTTTCCTTTTCTCTCATCCAAAACACACGAGAGATTTATTCTTCAGGCTCCAGTATGTGTACTAAAATCCCACAGAACACGGTGAGTAATCCTTAGTGTAGTCCAAGCGGCATTTGAGGGTGGTTGTTCCAGGAAAAAGGCCCCAGCTTGGAAACAGTGGGTCCAGGCGGGGAGAGGAGGCTGTAGAAGCCTTCAGCCAGCAGGCTGTGTTAGCTGTGTGAACCGGTCCTCTCTCTACCCCATCCCCCTCTCAGCAGTACAACGGCCCAGTTGCCACAGGCTCTTCGCTCCATTGTGTGTCCTCTCCAGGGCCTCCCCAACTTAAATAGACACAAGCAGGAAGCAAGCGGTGTACAAGGAAGAGAGAAGAAGGTGAGAGAGAGGAGAAAGCTTCGATAAGATCCAGGAGGAGCACTTTATTCCTGTAGCTCGCTCTCTCACCCTCTCTCTAGGACAGGCAGACCAGCATGCAGTTACTCAACAGTAAAAATGGCTATGCTGCTTCCTCATTCAGCGGCGCCTCAGCCCACACACACCCCTCCCTCTCTCCTACGCGCTTGCTCGTTCCACCCCTCCCCTCTTTCCCCATCAATAGCTTGAGGTTCTTGCTCTCTCCTCTCTCTCTCTGTTACACCTTTAACACCCCACCCCCTTCTTGTCTTTTCCTCAGTCCATTTCATCATGCCCCACCCCCACTCACTCGTTTCCCTTAGAGTGATCTTGTATAAGCCTTCCCCCACAAATTTAAGGGCTCCCTTATCTGCACTCCAACTCTACTCATATACCATTCACATTTCATATTGTGGCAGAATTACTCCAATACAAAATATGCTTTTTATTCTACAAAGTATTGAAGAGAAAACATCTAATATTAGACTAGATCTATAAAACTAACCAGAAACACCAGCAGCTCTAACTCACATCTGAGTTACCAAAGTGACCACTTCATCAAAAAGGGCAAATCTACTGGAAAACCAGACTGTAGCAGCACTGTGATTCAACAAATTCTAAATACTTTTTTTTTCTAAATTCTAAATATTTTTGAAATCTTTTTTGAAACAACTCCTTTTCGTGAAACCCACACCAGGTAAAATAAAATTGGCAGTATGTGGCTATGTGACCCCTAAAACAATTAATCTTGTATATTGTAATCATGAAGTCATGTAAAAATATTAGTCTCTGTAAATTCTTCTAATTAATAAGTGTACTGTGCCACCAACAATTTGCATGAAGGCAGAGACTAGACACTGAAGAGCTCAAGAAAGCAGGTAAATTATAATCTGGATATAATGCAGGGCAGTGTATCGGTCAACAGCTGGGAACATAAGGGAAAACTGAAATGATCACAGAGAGTAACAGAGAGTGTGACAGAAAGAGTTCAAAACAGTGAGACCACCCACTGTGCCTTCCTGTAGCAGAGCAGTCTCCAGTAATTATGTTCATGGCCGTACAGTGACTGCACTGGTGGCAGGAAGTACCAAACTCTTTAAATGAGATGAACTGGGTTATTTCCAACATTAATCTGTGATGCATTACTGGCTAGACAAATTTAACTTTGTATATGACTGTGGCCATATATGTTTAGTTCAGTCAAATCTTATTCAAGAGATATGACTGATACAAAAATTCACCAAAGTAAAAATCAAGTTCTTAGTTGAAGAGGTGAAAACATGTCTGTACCATAATTACCAAATTTCAGAAGTGCTAGTAAATGCTACCTCATAATACATGCCTAATGCATATAAAAAGGGCCAAAAGATGAGAGATCTCTCTGTGTGGTGATGGTAGAATCAAGGAACATATGCAAGTATGGCTGCTAGGCAGAAATCATAATTCCAGATACAATCTCCAGAGACATATGTGACATATAGAGAGTTTCTTTATACATCGGTTATACAACCTACCTGACAATGCTTAACCCTGTTAAAGTAACACTAGACTTTCAACCTCTTGTTCAATACTCAGGAAGAGAGAATATGAGCAAATTATAGGGCAAGTGAGAAGCAACTGTTTAATGGTGAGTGGATTTTACTGACATTTTATGACTTCATATAACTCCTCAAACCATAGAATATTGTTTTTGAGCCTCCACCAGTCTATTAAGCCAATCAACATTATGTGTACTACCAGAGACAAGACAACCACTGACCTCTCACCTCTCAATTAATTTTAAATGTCACATACATGCTAGCAAGCACACACCAATGCAGTTTCAAAATTAGTCAGGTGTCAAAACCCCAAGAGATCAGGAATGTAAAGCACCCATCATGTGCAATGTACACTTGTCAGGTGAGTGGTAATAGACATGCACAATGTCTGTATTCCCAAATGAAACAAACAGCAGCTACTCTGTGCTGCAGCCAGACACTGACGGTGTCCTCACAGACCCTCTTCCCGTCCACGTGCCATATGCACCATTCCCAGAGACAATACAGCAGCTGCCAGAGTGACAAAGCTCCAACCTACAGCAATTCAGAGTCGGCCAAACCGATGGCCCTGTCATTGGAAGGGTGGGGGGAGATCGTATTCAGACACAGAGAAGGAAGGAGGGAGGGAGGGAGGGAGGGAGGGATGATAGTGTAAGGAAGGGGGAAAGCGAAGGAGAGAGTTGCATTTAGACTGGGGGTTGGGTCAGAGGAAGAGGCAGCAGTGCACACAGAGATGAGACTGCGAGAAAGTCTGAGGGCGCTTCCATTAATCATCAGAGCACCAGAGCAGCCAGGATCTACAGGGACTCGGAGTGGAGAAAATAGGGAACAGGCAATTTGCCAACTTGACATGGTGTATCGTGCACTTATGTACATTCAGTTATGCACCCGGAAAAACAACAGAAAGAAGAAGGGTGGTGAAAGAGCTACTTAGTAGAAATAATGACCAAAGCCTTTTTGTTATCTGAGCATTAACTGAATCTAACAAAGAATGCTTCTGTAGTTATTAAATATTGCTTTTTACACCCAGAAAATCATTCTGTCCCTGTAACCGTAACTTTTTCATTTCTCACGCCCTCCCTTCACTATTGCAATACACTGCATAGATTAACAAATTGTCTCGATCCAGGATGAGGGAATATATATTGAACCAAATTTTAAGCAGATTCACTGAATTTTCGCATCAAGATTGGTTTGCACTACTCAGCCTCTGAAATCAGTTGTATAATATCCTCTGTAGCTCCAGAGGGAACTTTCTTACGTATGGGGAAAAAAAAAAAAAAAAAAAAAAAAAAGATCTGTTTGGGCTTGAGCGGAATTTCGATCAGAAAGCTTACATTTGAAATAAGTGTGTATTTTGGACAAGGGATTCTAATGAATAAAAGTTTGACCCATAATACAGACCAAAAGTTCAGGTTTCTATTGCTTCGATTTTTTATCATTGACTTTTAATCTGTCTCTTATAAGTCCTCCAATTTTATGGAAGTGCAGTACTGTAATAAATCACTGGGGTTTCCCTTTAAGTATCTTCACACTTATTATCTATGCATTTTTGAAGTGATAAAGGATTTTACTTTCAAAGCAAATCTGGGCTTTGTCCTTGTATAGTGAATTTAAAATATTGTTTAAAATATTGTGCAAAACATCTGAAACTATATCCAATGTTTCAGATAGTACTGTATATGAGGTAAGTTTTGAAATATTAAAGTATTTAAATTACCAGTATGCTTAAATCCATCAGAATGTCCAGAACTGCCCGAAAGTCATAATAGTCCTTAAAGCAACTATAGTAAATAATTTTTTATAACAACAATGTATCAAATAACAATGTGAAAACAATGCAACACTGGTAATGGTGAACATATAAAGTTATCACCCAAATCTGCAGCTTCACTCAGCTTTATGGAGCTTTATAGTGGTTTCAGCTCAATGTTCAGTTGTCTGGCCCACATCATTACTGCTTTAGTCACTCTCACTACTCTCATAGCATAGAAAAACCTCTAAAAACCCACTGTAGACAACCTGCTCAGCACCAAATGGCAGATAGCAAAAGCGACAAATATTTCCAGAAGTTGGCAGAGACCAAAAACAGAGCTAAAGGGGAGTGAATACTGAACTTACATTCACCTCCTAGCCAGAACATGGACTCCAAATGATTGATTATGTTGCTGTTTCAATACTGGATGTGTACAACTTTTTGTTAACACGTTTGCCATATCAGCTTAAAAGGCGATGCTATGCCAATGTTGTTTGCAATCAATCATCTCCAATACACAGGCATTCACACAGGACATTTATGTCCCTGGGCCTATCTCACGGGTGGGTTTGCTAGATAATTAAATTAAACCCAGAAACCTTTCAACCTTGACTACACTACTTGAAGTATCTCCAGATATTACTCAGCACAATCATCCAATTAGTTCAATTCAATTAATGTCCAAACCTTGCTTCACAAAATGTGCCGTCTTATCCCATGCAGGCTGGGCCTGTTGACCACACTGCCAGTCAAGATGCAGTAAGGTCCTGACCAAATTAACTGGCAACTGAGTGTATACACTCACCAAACAATTTATTAGAAACACTACACTAATAATGCGTAGGGCCTCCCTTTGTTCTCAAAACAGCCTCAATTCTTCATGGCATGGATTCCACATGATGTTGGAAATATTTCCTTTAAGATTCTGGTTCATATTGACATGATTGCATCACATGATTTCTGCAAATTTGTCAGCTGCACATTCATGCTGCAAATCTCTTGTTCTACCACAGCCCAAAGGTGTTCTATTGGATTCAGATGTGATGATTTGAGAGGCTACTGAAAAACACTGAACTCATTGTCATGGTCGTTTGAGAAAACTTTTGCTTTGTGAAATGATGCATTATTTGTAAAGAGTAGTTTCAGAGTTACCATAGCCTTTCTATCAGCTTGAACCAGTCTGCCCATTTTCTCTTCTGACCTATCTCACCTACGTGTTTCCGTCCACAGAGCTGCCAAGCAGTGGATGTTTTTTGATTTTCATACCAAACAAGTCAAACTCACTGAGATCAAATTTTCCCTATTCTGATGTTTGATGTGAACACCTACATGATTTTATGCATCGCACTGCTGCCACAAGATTGGCTGAGTGGGTAACTGCAAGTCTACTCAAGGTTACAGGCGTTCCTAATAAAGTGCCCTGTGAGCAGAAGGTAATGGAAATGTTTGTGTGCAGGATTGTATTGGGACCTGTAGAAACAAATCGTATATCAAACTGCTACCATAACAACTTTTATGTCCAGGTAAAAGGGATTGGCATTAGATTGGCTGATTCTAACAACATCTTAAAATGAAATCCAAATATAGTTATTAGCTGGTAAAGTAATAGAAACGATAACGAGCAAATAATACAAAAAATTGTCAGTATCGTCTAATACATCTCAACATGTCAATGAATGACAACGATGCACTGTCTCAATGTGGATGAAGAGAAACCAAAAATTCCATGCACTATAAATGTTTTTGCAGTAGCCACAGGACCAGAGTTGTAGTCAGTCTTATGACACTCCTGCCAATGATTCAAGTGATAAATGAAGCACATACACACTATAATAGATTTTGTTTGCTCGCTCATTTGTTCCCAGACCACACTCTCCTTTTCATTCAGAGGTCATTCACAACTAGGCCAAGGATGGTGTTACCATGGCAACTAAACCAGAGAGAACAGAACCAAAAAAAAAAAGGAATTTTGAAACTAAGAAAAAACAACAGGGGCGAGAAAAGTATGTTCTTTTGCACAGGACATGATAATGACCAAAATCACAGCCAGACCTAATCTAGTTCAAAATCTGTAGATTAAGCAGCACACTTGCACATTTTCCTGGCTGGCAAGTTTTAGACATTTGGTAGTTGAGCAGTTACAAACAGAACACAAAAATCATTACATAGTATTATTTTTAGGTATTTACTTAATAGTTCAGCTGTCAACATCACTGATTTACTGCTTACCTGATATCTGTAAGCACTCTGACCCTATCGTTATTTACAAACTTATGGAACAATTTTTAGATTTCAACTTGGAAAATTCATTTGGAGCAATGAGCTTAATAGCTTGGTCTACTGAGTTTATTTAATTTACCCCTTATCTGATAACTGCATGTCCTTTGACCTAATCTATCCACTTTATTTACACACTTAACTCGTTTTATACCCAACCTGTGAAAAGTTAATCACAAAACTGACCCATTACTTTAATTCATCACCAATATAGATCTGGGTAATACAGATCTAGAAGGCAAAAGTAACCAGTAATTGTACCTCTAGCACCTTTATTCAAAGAAGCCTATGCAAACAAGCATGTGACTGCAGGTAGGCTAATATTTGTCATTAGATAGACGTATATGTTGTTACACATTAGGCTTCCAACTACTATACCAATGGTCAACCGTTATAATAAAAAACACGTTTCACGCCTGTGAAATTGAGGATTTCTCTTACAAGAAAACAGCAGGGACAGTATGCTAAGTAACGGGCCTCTGCATGAGTAATCTCTTTGAACACACCAGTCGGCTGAATGCCACTGCTTTGTGTCTGTAATACCCAGCCATATTAGTCACATAAACATTACAGACCCAAACACATCTATCTGGGATAGGGATCATTACCAGATGTGGTGGATAAAACGATAAATTGCAAAGTAATGACCGCTGGCGAGCGATCATCGTCGAGGAGCCAAGATCCTAACGTTAGGCCACAGGGCATAGATTATTGCCTGGGTTTCGTAATGGACGTCCGTGCAAAGCATAGTAGACCTGAAAGCCTACGAGGGTAAAGATGCTGTGTTTCCAAGATCGTGGCAGCAAGCCTTGGAAAATGAACATTGGTCTTCTATTTTTGTTATCTGCTCCATTGACTGCATTCTCAGAAAATAGCCCCAGTCTGAGTGTGCGCCATCATCACCGTGACGGCGTCACCGTCTCCCACAACACAAGACAGTCGACGAGCAAACTAGCCATTGATGGCCAAGACGGTGGTCGTAGCAGCATTTGTTGGGCTACTTGTAGCGTAATTGTGGCCAACGGTAGGTGAGACAAACAAGGGATGTCAGATAGACACTCAATGTAGGTGCAGTTATTGTGTCTTTTGATAGACAACTGCCAACTAGCTGTAGCTAGCAAGCTAGCTAGCCAGAACAGGCCGCCGTGCAAGTGAACGGTCTCAGTGGGCGCCGGACATCAGCGCTTTCTCTTTAGCCTCTATGCCACTGTTACCGTGTTTCTTGCTGTCTACTCATCCGGTTTACTGAGACAACATGACAGGCAGAATAATGTTTGAAACAACGGCGTTTACCTGGGTATATCAGGTTGCCAGGGCGCGCGGGATCTTTCTCTCCGAGGATCCTGAACACCTCTCGTTGTCGATGACGTCACGCGTAGGTCTTTCGTGTCGGACGCAAAGAGCGCGTCACGTCTACTGCAACTTTAGCGGCAACTGAGAGGAGAAATTATATCTGTGCAGGTGCACCAGGACAACGGGCAAAACCTTGAGTAGATACAACAGGACATTTACGTACACAGCAACTACAGAAGATGTATTTAAAAGTAAAAAAAAAAATGCACCGTGCAAAAGTAAGACTAAACTTTCAAATCAGCTTCTGTTTTGTTGCTCTATCCTGAAGTTAACAAACAAATTACAACTACTACAATTGTCCCCAAAGGTATTGGTGCCACTGTTAGATCCTTTTGCCTTTAAAAGTTGATAATCACTGCATCTGTCTAATCCTATGATTTTTTAATTCCTTAAAGCACATTAGCGTTCAGGCTGTGTGCCTATCACTTTTTCTTCTTAAGTTTGTGTAGTAAGTCCTCTTTCCAAGTCGTCATGGTGGATAAGAGGTCATGTGGCACAGATAGGACTGTTGGCGACAGCTGAAAGTTGCTCGATCGTATTTTGTGGCTCTATTCTGAATACATGACGATCTAAGGACAGAGGTTGTCGTAATGGTGAATTGTTATGCCCCTTGAGGCAAATTTGTGATTTGTGATACTGGGCTGAATAAATAAATTAGACTTCACTTGGAATGTGACACATTGAGCTAAGTGACACGAAATAATACATATCTGATTAGATTACATACAATTTAACTTCCTGGGAGTAAAAAGAAAAACAAACAAAAGCAGGAGTATCCACGGATGGGATTCAAGAGTAACAACCAATGAAAGTTTTTTTTGCAGTTAATTATTGCAAATCTTACCAGAAGTACAGAGAATGACATATAGACAAAACCAGTGGTTTGCGGCGCCCCTTGGTGGACAAACGCGGCTCCAAATGTCATTAAACCGAAAGTCAGCTGTGATCCAAAGGCAAATTGTATGTTGTCCAAGTGACAAAAAAATGTAAAGTATCAAAATATTACTGTCAAATTCCAGCTTTGTTAAAAACACAGATGCACGATCCCATGGTTAAAAATATTTATTACTGACAGCCCTGACGCTTGCGTCCTAGCGTTCATGTGATTGGACCTTCTGGAAACCCGGAAGTAGTGTGAAGGTCTTTAGTGATGGCCGAGGTTTAGGTAACATTTCCCCGTGGAACGTCCGGAGCCGGAGTCAAAATGGGTGTTAAAATAGAGATGTTTAGGGTAAGTTGCAAACATATTTAAACAACATTCGTGGATAGTTAATGTGCATTGGTTTTAAGGTTAAAAATCGTACGAATCGATCTAGATTTTGTGGTTCGATCTAGTTAGCCATTATCATGAAGCTAACTAACAATTTCCCACTGTAACTCACTGGCTAGTTCATTTGTTTTTGTTTTGAGCAGATGATGCTGTATCTATCCTTTCCCGTGGCCATGTTCTGGGTCTCTAATCAAGCAGAGTACTTCGAAGAATACGTAGTAAAGAGAAAGGTCAGTAATGCTGTTTTTAGTTTCCATCATAGATGTACCTAGATCAGTCCATTCTGTGGGGCTTGATATGTTTTCTTGTAATAACAGATGTGTCTTTCTCTTTACTCTTATGGCATCTTGTATGGTATCCAGAGGGAAATCTTCCCCCCTAACGAGGCACAGCATGTAAGTGTAATACACAGAAATACACAGAGCTTATCTGTTTTTAAGGCCATACTGTCCATAAAGAAGAAACAATTGTTTGTGGTAGTGATTGCATATTCATAGCTCACCACCATTAACACTTGTGATTTTTTTTTTTCTTCTTCTTTTTTTTTTGTCTTTATCACTATACACTCCATATGGTGTTTACTTATTATATCACTCTAAAACAATCAGATAAATGGCACAGTGAAACCACATGGAGATTATCAGAGCACTCTATTGTGATGCTACATTTTAATATTTCTAATCATACTGACAGACCACATATTTTTCAAGTCAGATGGGTTTCTTTTCAAAATTCAGATAATAACTGTACAGCGTCTTTTTTCACTTTCTATCATGACTCCACCAGAAACCACAAATTATTGTTGTATTTAGAGTAATTTGTCTGTCTTCATGTTTCCTTAGCTTTTTTTTTACAAACCTCTTCATAAGTTACAGTGTTTTCAATGCCATGTATTTGATTTACTGCTGCACAGCACAGCATATGATGATAATCATGACTGTGCTATATTTGTTTTCAGAGGAAAGAGTTGGAGGACTTCAAAGAGCGAATGCGTGTTCGTAGGGAACAGCGAATATTAAAAGATATTTCTGTTGAATCTGAGAACTGAGGATTATGTGTCGAAGAAGTGCATGAGTTCTCAGCACCACTGACGGAGGATTATTCAGGAGTGTTTTATTGGCAAAAGAAAACTGAGTGGACTGGAGTATGACATCACATTGGAAACCACTGCAAAGTTAACACATCCCAAAGGTGTGCTGGGTTATTTCCAGGGATTAATTATGCCTAATAAGCCTAATATTATATTTGATTTTCATGTTCAAATGCCAGAATTCTTTGCTTGTGTTTAAATGTCTGATACGTTGAGTTGCTGTGACTGTGCTGTCGTAAAATAAATAATAATTTGATTTATTTTGAATTATTTAATTATATATCCAGTTGGATATAATGTAATTATCATGATTTTTTAGTGCTGTACAGTGCCTTTAAAATGTATTCACCCCCTTGGATTTTTTTTCTGTTTAGAGTTTTACAACACTGTATCATAGTGGATGTAATTAGGCATTTTGAAACTGATCAACAGGGACACATTTCATTACCAAAGCGTAAAACAAATCTCCATAAACTGTGAATTCGTCACAAACACAAAACACAAAGTAAGTGGTTGCATAAGAATTAAGCCCTTTTAAATCTGAATTTAATACAGGCACCCATGGCAGCAATTACTTCTTCCAGTCTTCGTTAAAATTCTGGGTACCTTTTTGGGAAAATAACTGTTTCCACAAGTCCCAGTTAACTTTAACACTGCAGCAGGTTGTTGTCTGTGATTTACATGTATTTTGCTGCATTCATTGTAGCTTCTACATCCACAAGCCTCGCAGGTCCTGCAGATAAATGTCCCCACACCATGATGCAACCAACACCAGGCTAGAGTAAAAAGTAGAGTTGCACATTACATTGTAGAGGCACTGAATGTTTCTTTGTCTTCATGATTGTTGCATGAATGTTTCTTTATCTGCATCATTTTTTTCACCTTGCAGATAAAGGTAGATTTAATCTAAAATAATAGACCATCTTGAAAAGGGATAACATCAGCCACAACGCCTGTTAACATGTTGACGTTCCGACTAATGAATACTGAGTACTCATGTTATCATGTAGTAATGACTTCTGACTACAGCCTTCATTTTCATCTGAATTACAAACCTGGTAAGTTTTGTGACTGTATCTTGCACAGTTGTGACGCTATCACTATGACAAAATCTGTCCACATACAGACAGACAGAAATATAAAGACCTGCAAAAGTACTCTGGTTGTTCAGCAGGTGCCTAAGTCTCCAAGGCCACATTTGGCCATGATGGCGCACACAGACTCACAAGATGAAAACAATACCAGCCAAACTGTCGCAGCTGGTAATTGCTTGTATCACTTGTCATACCTTAACTGCACACAGGTTATCAACTTGTGATTTCCTAAAACAATTGAATTTATCAGTGAGAATTTAGTTGTGACCGTTTACAGTGATAGTTTACCACTGTTGTATAAACTTTTCATTCACTGTGGTTGCATAAATTAGTTGACCAGGGGTTAACAGTGTAGTTAATGATTATCTGTATATTTCATGTAAATGTCATTCTAATGCTTTTTTCATTTTTACATCATGGTTTGTTGGTTTGGTTGTTCCTAACAGAAGCAGTTATTTGCTCATTAGATGTGGCTGTGTTTGTTTATGAAGGTATACCTCATGTTCTGCACATTCTATGGCCACATCTTTAACCTCAGGATGAAGATGTCACTTTGTGGCCAGAGGTTTGATCCCCTGGACCAGCAGGAAACGGTTTTAACGTTTTTATGTGAATAACTAACAACAAGTTTAACAAACCAGTTTCTGATTGGATGGTTGTCATACTATGTATCTCCAAGATCAGAAGGTCAGTGCCCCGCAAATAAAGTATTTGTTAAAAAAATTTCCTTGAATTTACTCCTTTGTTGACTCCAGTTACAACTACCCTGACCCTGTTTATTTTTCAACACTACACAAAATTAAAGGCTAAATGTCACCTCACTATATCATCTAAAATAATAAAATTAGTACGTTAGGGTTAGGTTAGGGTTACCCAATTCCTGGGTATGGTATTCATTTGAAAAATATGTATTACCAGCAATTGCATGATAATACCCTATTTGGAGGTGGAATGATGTTACTATGGTATACTGTGATGCTACAGCACTGTTGATTATCTGGCTCCACTATATTTGCGAGTTTAGTCCTGAGTGTCACAGAGATTGTGTGTTGATAGAGATACAAACTTAACGGTTGCCGAGTAATGCTTGTTTTAAGAGCTAACACTTGCTCTCACATGCTTCAGAATCACAATTTATAAATCATTTTGAATATGGCATGAGCCTCATCAGACCACCTCCCAAGTATGAATTAGAGAACTGTGCTTGGCTTGTCCAGACAATCTGAAGTCTTTGATGCATCCTCACAACAATCATGCCTAACAAAGTGCTGAACTTCTCATCCATCATGATGAGGTGATGACATGGTTTTCCCAAGGCCCATCAAATGATACCCTCAAATATATTTGGCAATGAAAAGTGGCCAGTTGGATCTCTCACAGTGTGTCTCCTGAGACACTGGCAAGAAAGAGTGCGTATTTCTTTCTTGCAGCTGCTTCTTTTTCATAGCTGCCACTCATTTTGAAAGTCCGATTCAAAATATGGTTTAATTATATTTTATGATGTGATGGACTGATAAGTACTACTTCTGCTGTGTTGAAAGCCAAGAGATTATGTTTCATTGTACTCATGAATGGATGGATTTCTGAATGGGCCAACAGGGCCAAGGGCCAGAGGCCAAGGGATCAGGATGCCTCTTGACTAGAACCTCTGTATGAAATGACAGTTCTTGCTGGAAAGTCAACCAAGCCACTACAGAGGGACACAAAATCACCACAAAAAGGCACAAAACAAGTATAATTTGGCACAAAATGACACAGAGGAGATGCAAACAACCACAAACAGACAGAGAATGAGTAAATACAAATGGAAAACAACTAAATAGCGACACAAAATGTCTTAACAGACACAAAAAGAGTAGAATATATGCAAAATGAGCACACAGAGATGCAAAACAGCCAAAGAGAGTTTGAGTCGACAAAAAATGACAACAAAAAGAAAATACAATATGACTAGAAATAGGCACAAAATGAGAATGAGTAGAAGAAAATGACAACAAAGATTCTACAAATGACTTATGCTCTATTAAAACATCCATGGTCCATGCCCAGGTGCCCATTGTCTCATCCATGACTGTACTTGATCCAGGCCAGACAAGTTGCTGTGAATCTTTAGAAACAACCAGAAATTGTAAAGGCTTTGTTTCAGATTGGAATAATTCAGAATGAATGTAGCTAAACAGATATATTATTTATTACAGCCATAGACTGTGAATGAGATGTGTTCTTAAAACAACGGTGTCAGACAGTAGGGGGCAACATTTCACTGTCAAAACCTCTATGCCTTAACCATACAGGCTTTGACAAGGAAGTGACCGACGAGGCGGCAGACTGTTGTCAAGATGGCACCGACTGGGCTAAAGGCGGTAGTTGGAGAAAGTAAGTGACACATTCGTTGTAACATATCTGCTTTCATAAGTTTATTACAACAAAAAGACACAGGTCAATTAATCGAATTAATTGCGTAGCAGCTTCATAAACTGACGCTCTACGTATAACACAAAACACTGCAGGAGATGTCGGTCCGATAAATGTTTCTTCCTGCTCGAGTCCAAATTAAAATACTAACAATACCGAACTAAATAGTGTTAGTCGTGGATAAAAAAAAGCATTGTTGTTGCTTTGCATGACTTGGTAACAATATTGTCTGAGGGGAAGCGGTGGCTTGTTGTGATATTTGGCTGGCGTAAAAAGAGAAAACATCGCGGCGTTAGCAGGTGTAATTGTGACAGTCCAAGTTTTATGCTAACGTTAGCTAGCTAACCTAGAAGGAAGTTCAGAAACTTCGCTTGTGCTGGACTAAATTAACTGGCACATTTATGCGGTAAACTATTAAACATCAACAGAATCACAACTTTTGTTACAAAACGTCATTAATACTTCATAAAATCAATAAGGCTTTAAAAGTAGTAGTACTAGTAATAAATATTAAGTCATACGTTGTGGTTGTGTGTTACAAGTCTCTACAACGACAAAAAGCTTTGTATAGTTATATAATGATAATGTTTATTATACATGTTTTTTTTCATATAATATTTTAAGAATTGAAATTAAATTATTGTTGTTTTAACCTACTTATAATGTTAGCACAATCTTTTCTCTATGCCAAGGGTTAGGAGATGTCACTGCAACTCTAGATTGTCTTCCTGTATAAAGGAGTGTAGTGTAGTGTAGGAGTGTGGTGTGAACACACCCTCACTCAAATGTGCTGTAATCTTATGGTATGTACAGGTAATACATGTAACCCTGAGCTTGCTCAGGATTCAGAGACCAGACCAGCAACTAACTTGCTCTTCTTGTAGGCCTATAACCTAATTATTTCTATAAGGTCTGGAATATACACCTTCATTTCTTTGAACTTGCTACCAATTTAAATATAAAGCATTTGCATTTGCATTTGCAGGGCTGGACTTTGGAAATCTATAAATGATGTTAGAATGGTGGCATGTGGCCAGGTCTTATGAGCTTGATCTGATGCTCAAAAATATTGTTGTCCATATAACTTGAGTAAAAGCATGGGAGAGCGCAATCGCAATTGTCATAGCTGACAATGCCAAATAAACTATAATCATTATTAATAAACTCAGAGAATAGACATAATAAAGTCAGGTAAGACCTAATGCAGCATTCGGTTACAAGCAAATCAGACTTGTGTCATTTTCATTTAGATATTTTTCTACATTTTAAAAAAGAACAAATACATGGACTGAGATGGCTTGATGGCTGTCTACTTTGATGTAGGAAACCCCAGTTACAAGTAGTCATATTTTCCAGTTCCCTGTATGGAAATAGGTTGGACAATGCAAGAAAAATCATGAATGTGATTCATTTTTTATGGAAAAAGCATAAAAATGATTTGTAATCTTTCTTGTAAGTAGTAGTACATGTACATCATTTGTTGTAAACTCATATTATGTGATTCTGGCAGAGTGTGTTAAGTTTTTGAATGTATGTTAGTACTGGATAGATCAAAGTTCTGTCATCTTATTTTGATAGTCCCGACCCAGAAACAAATAAACAATATCCACCCCATAAACACCAATTATTGTTTCTTAAGCAATTCATCATGTAGTGATTACTATGAGTGAATTAAACAATTGTGATGTCAATTAGTAACTGATATGGTAAGAAAACCTAAAACAATGAATCATACGCATTAGGGAATTACT